GGACTCATTCAGGCCAAAGCCACCATGTCCCAGTGCTGTGGGCACTGGGGGTATGTCCTGGGCATCAAGGGTGGTGGCAATCCCCAGTCCATTGGTGCCAGCTGGCTGGGTCTGGTTTGGAGGTGGAGCTGGCCAGCAGCCTGCTTAAACATTTTTTGGCTGCCAGCATGGGCTGCAGTGACCTTAGGGAGATGCTAAGTGGAGTTGCAAAAGGCTTAGGCTGGGTGGTAATTGTTCCCTTGGTGTCTCTCATGCCACAAACCCTGATTCTAGTGGTGGGTGAGGGTGGCTCGTCAGCAGCTGGGTGTCATGGCTGGGTGTCACGGCTGGGTGTCACGGTGGGCAGGAGCGTGGCTCCATCCCCATCAGGGCCATTTGCAGCAGCCTTTGAACATGGGCTGCTCTCACCCCAGTGGACCTTCTCCACCAGATCCTGCTCTTCCAGCCCGTCCCCTAGCTATTTTTTTTTTTTAAAAAAGGCTTTATGCAGCAAAATGCTTATCGTCTTTAAGCCTGTGAGCTGCCCTGGCATCTCCTCTAGGGTTTACTTGCAGGCTGCTGCCAAACTTGGCATCATTCGTCTCCATGTCCCACGTGCTCTGTGGCCCTGCCCAAATCCCCGCCGCCCCCACACCACCTGCCCGCATTGACCCCCTCGGTGTTGGATGTCCTTCCGCATCCCTCGGCCCATCCTCCCCTGCGGATGGGGATACACCTGGCACCCACCTCGGGGAGGAGGGGACCTGCCTCACCCTGGCTGCTGGCCGTGTCCCCTCCTCAGGGCAGGGATCTCGTGGTGTTTGTCTCAGCCCAGTTATTTTGCAGCTGGCTGAAATTGCCGGGGATGGGCAACAACAACCCTGGCAGGCACTGGCAGCAGGGAGCGTGACAGGCGGCTGACGGGATGGGGTGGTAAGTGGCAACGATGGCATCGATTCATCGCCTCCCACGCCAGGATGTGATGGGGAGCACCGGGACCCGACTCACCTCGTCGCCTGCCTTGAGCAATCCCTGCTGTGGTCCCCAGGGCCACACGAGCCCTGGCTTGGGGCAGGGGGATCTGGGCTCACTGGTGGGGTTTCCATGCACGATGCAGGGATGTGCCTCCAGCCACATCCAGGTATGCCGTCCATCTCATTTGCTTTGCCAGCACTTGGTGCTATTGAATTATTTCCTTTAATTTCCAGCCGAAGCTGCCCCGAGAAGACCATCATTTATGCAATCACATCTCCTCCATGTGACAAAGCACCAAAGCAATTGGGTCTTCTGCTCCTGGGAGGAGGGTGGGCTCAGAAAAATGAGGGTCAACACTCCATGGCAACCCAAGGATCGACTTAAAATTGCCACGTGTTTCCTTGAAGTGGGAGCAACCACCCAGCTTCCACTGGTGATTTGGTGAATGAATCCCAACCCCCTGGGGCAGTTGCTGCTGTGTGGATATGCCCAAGAAGCCTCTTAAATCCTATCTATTTATTGTTGCCTTTCTCCTAAGCTCCAGCTTCACTTGCCGCCATAGCCAGCATTTTCCAACGTGCCTGCCGGGGGTTAAGATCTTGAACTCACATTTAAGCACCTCAGCAAACACAGTCGGCGGCTTTGCACACCCTCTCTCTGAGCTTCTGCACACAAAACACCCCGTTAATAACTATTTGCAGTGTGGGACTTGGCATCTCAGCATCTCTGGCAGCGAACCCCTGAGTGTTTCCCAAGTAGCTCTGCAACCAGGGTGACTTAGGGTCAGGGTTATGGTCAAAAATGTGAAGATGCTTTGCCCCATGCTCGTGGCCAAAGACGCTTGTAGGTTATGGGTGGAGGGGCTGGGCTTGGTGGAGGAGGCAGCCGGGGGCCCGCCTGTGGCTGAGCGGATGGGGGGCATCGCCTGCGTCCTTCCCTGCACCCGCACGGTGTCCTGAGGGGGTCCCAACAAGTGGCAGGTCAGTGCTGGGGGTACCCCGACACCAGGCTGGGGCAGTGCGGGGTTGCTGGGAAGCGATGGCCAGAATCAAGTACAGGTCCTTGGAGCCCCCTTTGCACCCCTTTGCAATTTCTTTTCCTGGAGTGGAAAGGTGTGAAACTCAGCAGGGCTCAAACAGAGCCTATCCCTGTGGGTGGCACGGTGGTGTGACCTGCTCCTGCCTTGCCCTGGCCCCCAAAACCTGAGATGAATGTCGGAGAAGCATCCCACGACCAGCCCCAGCAGCTGAACCCCCTTTGGGCTGTACCAGCAGCAGGAGACCCTTGGGCACCAGCAACCCCTTGAAGGAGGGAGATTAAAATGCCTCAGAAAGCCAAGCCCTGAGGAGCATCCTAAGCATTAATGAACTTATTACAGATGCCTCTAAGACAGAAACAACAAATTTGCCCTTGCAGCAGGGGGGGAAGCTGAGGCAGTCCTTGCTGGAGGGTGTTTTTGATGCTCCATCTGCAGAGCAGGGCAGAAAAGGGTAGGTTTGGATGCCACATCTTTGGAGCAGGGCACTAAAGGGCAGTTTTGATGCTACACGTTTGAGCCATGGTCTGAAGCAGCTGCACTTGGCCCCATATGACGCAACCCCACAAGCCCTGAGCATCCTTCCTTTTTTTCCCATTTTGGGTACGTTTTGCCCGGTCATCCCCTGCCGTGCTGACAGTGCTGGAGGAAGGCACACAGTGCCTTTCCCCTGCCTCAGCAGCTCGTGTCCTGCGACGGCTCACGTGGGCCTGTCCCCACCACCCTTGACTCAGCTAATTCCTCTTCACCCAAGATGTTGACCAAGATTCTGCTGGCGTTGTCCAGGCATCGGCAAAAGCAATGGGTCAGAGTGGTGGGGCATGTCCAGGACCACCATTGCCACCACCACAGGGTCCGTGTCCCCACGACCAGCTGCCACTGAAGCAGCCGTCTGTGCATGGTGAGTGGGGCTGGAGATGGGCGCTTGGATCCCTGCACCAAGCCCGGGGGTATCCGGTCTGCGTGGAAGTGGGATGAACATCTGTACCTGCATGCTGGGCATGTTTTGAGCATCCTGTAATTAATGTTTGCTCAGTGATTGAGGCTGATGAGTGCTTAACGTTATCAGCAAATGATGAGTAGCTGATGTTGTTGATATTGCTACCTTGAAACATCTAATTTCAGCATCTGGATGGAGCAAAAGGGCCAGGGGCCAGACTGCCGGTGCCAAGGCCCTGCCAGGCTTTGAATCTTTGGAGGTGGCTTGCTACCAAAGCCCTGCACGTGAACATCCCTGCCCTGCCCTGGCAGCCCTGAGTTTGGACCCACATGGTGGCCATGGTGGCAGAGACAGGACCTGTGCTGGTGGCATGGCCGGGCCAGCAGCTCCCCTTGCTAGGGCAAGATGTGCAGAGCCCCCAAGCCCAGGGGAGTGGGAGTGGGGACACAGATGCGAGAAGATGTTCAGAGGCCTAATCCAAAACCCACTGAAGGTCTCTTGTATATTTAACCCACCTTGATGCATGTGTATAAGAGTGGATGAAAGAACTGAACGTCTGTAAAGGAGCACTGGGTTACCCCAGCCCTCATCCCACACTGCTGAAGACCGGTGTGAGGGACAAGGGCTCACACGGGGATGCTTGTTTATTTATTTATTGGGGGGGGGAAAAAGCATTGGTGAGAGCAACACTTGTGAAGCCTTTTAAAAAAAAAAACAACTTTCTGATTATGCTGAGACTAAAAAAACTAAGCCACTGTCACCTTTATCTCCTCCATCAATAATCCCGCTGCCACCCAGCAGGCACAGCCCTAAGCAGCCAGTTGGTAGTTTTTCACGAGGGTGTTCTGGGGAGCTGCCAGGGATTTAGGGTGCCGTGTCCCTGGGCAGCAGAGTGGCCTCTAGTGACAACCGCTCACATCCAGACCTGGGGAAAGAAACCTGCAAATGAACCTTGGGGGGCTGCTTGCTCCCCAGGAAAATTAGAAGCAGAGTCCAAATTGCCAGAGGAGAAGCATCCCTGGGGGGC